GCTGCACACGACCAATGTTTGTTAACTAGAACTTACCAAGTGCAGATACTGAAAAATTGTCTTAGATTGCACGGTATTGTCACCCACTGAATATAAAACTCGGCATAATACAATGGGTCAATATCTGCAACTTCTACGGAAAGAAAACTGAAAGAAATGTATGAACACCACCCGGTTACGGAGATAGGAATTGTAACAATTTTATGGGACTGCACAATACACACAGGCAGAACAATCAAAGCCAACCGCCCAGATATTGTTAGTAGAGACCGCAAACAAAAAATGTACCTCCTTATTGATATGGCAGTCCCTGCAGACTGCAATGTATCTTTGAAGATATTCAAAAAGCTGTCAAAATACAAGGACCTTGAAATCGAAATCTCAAAAATGTGGCAGATGAGAACCTCAAAAATTCCAGTTGTAGATTGATTTGAAAAATTTCTGATAAACTCTTTGAATGTATTCCTGGAAGCCCATATCTTTTTTCCTGTATGATTTTATAAATTCGCGCCAAATGGACCCATTGCCCATATTTTTGTCGTGTTTTATATTTATACATACGTCACGTTCACAAAGTAAATTATTAATACATTTATTTAAATAAAAAAGGTATTAGGTTTTCTTTTTTCGTTATTTTTCACCCTAATCCCTTAAATTAGTCAATTTTCATTTTGTTTTCCCTCGTATTACATTAGAAAGAAATACATTCGACTCAGACCGGCTTCTTTCCAAAAGTTGCTTCTTTATGGAAAAGACTCGCCGTAGGGTGTGTGGCACCATTCGCACCAAAATTGTGACGACGTCCTCCAATCGTTCATCGCTCACTGTACCTGTGATGACATCCAAGGTTGAATGTATTTACATATACACTCAACTCCTTATGTGCACAGATTTGTCTTCTCGGTCGTGATCACTAGAATTCGGTCTGTCCTGCTATTTACTGGGGGGAGAAGAATAGGATCAATACCTCTCCCAAGATTATTAGCACGTAAGTGAATATCAATCAGTAATATGCCATGCGTGATACACGCTTAGGCTATCATATATCTTTCCATACATGACAGACGAAGTAGATTTTTTTTCACGTACTAGGTTGCCATTTTTTTCTGTGGTAGACCAGTTGCCATCTAAGGCTATAGAACTCGCCCTGTCCTGATATTTACCCATAGCTGGGAGTGGGGAGAAGAAGAGGATTCATATCTTTCCTAAAGGTATTAGCACGTAATTAAATATCAATCAGTTATGTCCCATGCGTGATACACGCTTAGGCTATCATGTATCTTTCGATACGTGACACGCGAGGCAGATTGTAGGTTGACTTTTTTTTCTGCGGTAGACCAGTTGCTATCCAAGGCTATAGAACCCAGTCTGTCCTGCTATTTACCCATAGTTGGGGGTGGAGAGAAGAAGAGGATTCATACCTTTCCTAAGGTTATTAGCACGTAAGTGAATATCAGTCAGTTATGTCCCATGCGTGATGCACGCTTAGGCGATCATGTATCGAAAGATACATGACAGACAATGCAGATTTTTTCCCGCAGTAGATTGCCATTTTTTTTCTGTGGTAGGCCAGTTGCCATCCAAGGTTATAGTATTCGGTCTGTCCTATAGCTTGGCGGAGAAGAAGAGGACTCATACCCAAAGGTTTAGCACGTAAGTGAATGTAATGGATTCGACTGGAACGGCTCTCCGATTCCTCAACCCGAGCCGCTATCAAGTCAAGGGTTAACGGTTATCTTTTCCGCATAGCCTCATGAACCTCATGAACCGTTCTTACATGCCTACAACACCACTCAGTAACGATCTACCTCGAGTAGATCTTGAACCTTTACTCGGGGAACATTTGTTTAAAGACAGGAAACAGTGTAATTTTTTGGACAAGGTTTGTTTGTCTCCAATATTTGTTCCGTTAAAATAATTTGAGTTATAAATAGATACAAATGTATTTTGCCTGATCTGATTTGTTATTTGACCTAGATTATTTGATTCGTTTTTTACGGTTTATCAACCCTTTGGAGGCTACTTAAAACCAGAAAATATTTTTAGATTGTATCGTATATACTCGCATAGCATGCGACCTTTGAAGAGCTAATTTTGAAGCTAATTTGACTAAAGTAAATGAATATATAATTCGGTCAACGGCGTAGCCAGGGCCAACAGTGCATACCTTAATTTTGTATCGCGTGTATGATGTGACCCTCTTAAAATTAGCTTCAAAATTAGGACTTCAAAAGTCGCATGGTAGGCGAATATAGACGGTATATCATGTTTGTGAGATCTTATTCTCCTCGGGTTAATGTTTTTGAAGCTTCTAGATTTTCCCCGAGAACGACTTAATACAAATAGCCGAGGAGATTAGCCCCACCATGTCTATCGGTTTGTATCGGAAAGGTGTTGAGAACTTTCGAAGAAATTGAATTCAATATTTTATAGCGGGGAGTAAATTAGGACAAACGGAAGAATTTTATATATACCGTACTTACGTATCATGCGACCTTTGAAGACATAATTTTGAAGCTAATTTCACTACAGTAAATGGATATATAGTTCAGTCAACAGGGTAGCCAAGGCCAGCAGTACATACGCTAATTTTATATCTCATGTATAATGCGACCTCCTTAAATTTAGCTTCAAAATTAGTTCTTAAAAAGTCGCAAGACATTCGAGTATATACGGTAATTAAAGTTTCTATTGGACATAAAGTGGAGGACCGATTTTCTATTGTTATGAGGTAATAAACCGATCCCCCCTCCCAAGAATTACTACATAATAATTGGAGAGAATTAGTTTCTATTGGACATAAAGTGGGGGATCACTTGTCTATTGCTACTGAGTAATAAACTCATCCCCCGTGAATTAGCACATGTTATTATAATTGGAAACATGCCGTATATACTCGTGTAACAGGCGATGTTCATTTTAAATACAGCTGTACTTTTTGACTACAGTAAATGGATATATAGTTTGGTCAACGGCGTAGCCTGAGCCAGCAGTACATACGCTGAGTTTATATCTAATGCATGATGCGACACCCTTAAAATTAACTTCAAAATTAGGAGTTCAAAGGCCGCATGATACGCGTGTATATACAGTATATCATGTTTGCAAGATCTTATTCTCCTCGGGTTATGTAGCTTCTAGATTTTCCCCGACAACGACCTGATACAAATACCCGAAGGGATTACCCTCGCCGGAAAAGACGCGTGTCTATCGGTTTGTCTCGGAAAGGTGTTGAGAACTTTCGAAGAAATTGAATTCAATATTTTATAGGAGGAGTAAATTTTGACAAACGGAGGAATTTTATATATACCGTACTTGCTCACGTATCATGCGACCTTTGAAGACCTAATTTTGAAGCTAATTTAGCTACAGTAAATGGACATAGAGTTTGGTCAACGGTGTAGCCAGGGCCAGTTAAAACATACGCAAATTGTATATCTCTTATTATGCAACCCCCTTAAAATTAGCTTCAAAATTAGGACTTCAAAAGTCGCATGATACGTGAGTATATACGGTATATCATGTTTGCAAGATCTTATTCTCCTCTGGTTAATGTTTATGAAGCTGCTAGGTTTTCCCCGAGAACGACCTGATACAAATAGCCGAGGGGATTACTCACGCCGGAGAAGACGCGTGTCTATCGGTTTGTATCGGGACGGTGTTGAGAACTTTCGAAGAAATTGAATTCAATATTTTATAGCTGGGAGTAAATTCGGATAAACGGAAGAATTTTATATATACCGTACATACTCACGTATCATGCGACCTTTGAAGACCTAATTTTGAAGCTAATTTGGCTACAGTAAATGAACATATAGTTTGGTCAACGGTGTAGCCAGGGCCAGTTGAACATACGCAAATTGTATATCACTTATTATGCAGCCCCCTTAAAATTAGCTTCAAAATTAGGTCTTAAAAGTCAGATGATGCACTGGTATATACGGTACTCATTTTTATATAAATAATAACAATGGGAACGAGGCATATTTGCGATGTTTGTATTTTATAATACGATAATAATATGTGAATATTACATGCATTATTATTGGATACAGTTAATTAAAACATCAGTGTTTATCAAAATCATGTTTATTTTAAATACAGCTGTACTTTTTGAATACAGTAAATAGATATATAGTTTGTTCAACGGCCTAGCCAGGGCTATCAGTACATATACACATTGTATGATGCGACCCTCTTAAAATTAGCTTTAAAATTAGGACTTCAAAAGTCGCATGGTAGGCGAGTATAGACGGTATATCATGTTTGTGAGATCTTATTCTCCTCGGGTTAATGTTTATGAAGCTTTTCCCCGAGAACTACAAATAGCCGAGGGGATTACCCACGCCGTGTCTATCCGTTTGTATAGGAACGGTGTTGAGAAATTGAATTCAATATTTTATAGGAGGAGAAAATTCCGACAAACGGAGGAATTTTATATATACCGTACTTACTCACGTATCATGCGACCTTTGAAGACATAATTTTGAAGCTAATTTCCTCAGCTTAATGAAGCTGATAACTTTTCTAGGTGAACGTCTTGATTCAAATATTCGAGGAAATTACCCCGCATAATACGCTAGTATATACGGTAAGTATTTTTTGCGAAATAATAATGGTTTAGTGATCAAGTTTTACTAATTAACCCATAACTGGAGGGGAAAAGGAAGGGAAGTCATTGGAAATTTTGTTGCTTATTTATGCATATCCTTTTTACTCGATACAGATATATCACAGAAGTTTCCATTCGCGCAAAAAACATTGCGTGAGATATTTGAATTTATTCTAGGCTTGATTTATTTTTTGCGGCTTATCAACACTTTGCAGATGATTTTAAACCAGAAAATATTTTTTTAGATTATTAGGAGATAATCATGATTTACTGTTTGAAGTCCTACTAATTAATCCATAGCTGGGGGTATTTGTACGTCAATGAATATAACGGACACAACAGGAAGTGAAACTCGGCTTTCCAATAAACATAAGCCTTACATCCACGCTTACAGTCTCTGGTATTCACAAGCGGTCACTCCTCTAGGTACTGACCTGGCTCGACTTTGCTTAACGTCGGAGATCGTACGGGAACCGGTGTTTACCCCGTGATATGGCCGTAAGACATTCGACCTAGAGATAAGCTGGAAAATGATATATTTAGTCATGGGAAGCTGTGAAGGGCACTCAGCAGGGGAAGTTTTACAATTTACGCCAGGCAAACATAACGCTCGCACAGTCGCCATTGTTCAAATTCTTAGTGTAGGCTAGATTTTCTTAAAATACAGGGTGCGATAGGTAAATTGTCGCCATTTTATATTTTTAATTTCGCGTGTTGTTTGTATTTGATTTTGTCGACTGCACAATATAGTAGGGTTCAGTTAGGCACCGTCTGTGAGAGAAAAAGATCACCATGACGTACTCAACTTCGCCCGAAATTTCGAAACGGCATGCTGTACTGCTTGGCATTCGCGCCTGTAGCTCCAAAACAAACATTTCAGATTGTTTGGGTGTTAATCTGAGGACAGTGCAGAGGATTCGGAAAGAGTTGGATGAGGTACGATAACTCGGAAAACTCACACGTTGAGGGCCCCGGACTCAATACCGAGGCCTACAATAAGTGCCATGAAGAGGCAGTGCTGCCCTGAGTCAAGGGCGTGGCTTCTGGAAGACCCCCTGTCTGACATTAAAACACTCCACCATGCAGCACAAGCAAGGGAACCCAATCATGTCTGTCAGACAATTTCTGCGACCACATCACCACATATGGCCACCTAACTCTCCAGAGTGCAATGGTGATTATATTAAATAAATTTACTCTTTAGTATTTCAAGATACTTTTGTATAATTTTGGTAAATATATCTGTTAAAATGAGATGTCAGTGTTATTTTCATCTTTAAATGATTTAGACGAGAATTTATCCATCGCGCCCTGTAGATACAAATTAGTAATGAAAAATTGTGAAGCTTTTTCAGCAAGTGAAGCCCTCTATTTATTTTTGTATGACATCGTAAACTTAAATATGTGCAACAATAAAATTCTGTCTTATTTTATTTGAATATTCATTTAGAAAGAGACACCAATTTAATACCAGCCTAGGAAAAGCAGTGTTAATATTGTCGGTGGATTTCTAATTACAAAGGTACGACAGCTTGGAAAACTAACTTGGTGAGGGTTCCAGACTCAACACAGGCCTACACCAAGTGCCATGAAGCGGCAGTGCTGCCCTGAGTCAAGGGCGTGGCTGCTGGAAGACCTTCTGTCTGGCATCAGAACACTGCACCATGCAGCGCAAGCAAGGGAACTCAATTATGGCTTTCAGACAATTTCTGCGACCACATCACCATATATGGCCATCTACCTCTCCAGACTGCAACCTTGATTATTGTGTGCGAGGCGCAGTTGAGCGAGAGACAAACAAAACTCCTTGTAACACCAAAGATGAACTGAAGGCAAGGATTATGGCAGCAGTCACCAACCTAAGCAAGGAGGACGTCCAAAAGATTTGTATAAGATTCTGAAGTCGTCTGGAGGCCGTGGTTGAAGCCAATTACGATTTTATTGAGTAAATCTGTCTTTAGTATTTCAAGATATTTTTGTGAATTTTGGTAAATATATCTGTTAAAATGAGATGACAGTGTTATTTTCCTCTTTGAATGATTCAGACGACAATTTATCCATCGCACCCTGTAGATACCAATTAGTAATGAAAAGTTTATGAAGCTTTTTCAGCAGGTGAAACACTATTTATTTTCGTATGCCATCGTAGCTTAAATATCTACAACAATAAATTTCTGTCTTATTTTATTTGAATATTTATTTAGAAAGAGACACCAATTTCATACCAGCGAACTAAAGACAGGGTTAATATTGCCGGTGGAATTTTTTTAATTATTTAATTATTTGGTGTGTAGCTGATTAAAAGACTTACAAGTGATTGCTCCAGGAATAGAAATGCAAATGAATATTGTTTTCCGTTCAACAGCAGAATTACAAGAATTGACTATGAAAGAGAAGTTAGTCTGAAAAGATAGAGCTTATCCCCAAAAGCTTCTTTGTTTTTTTTTACAGACGATGTAGTGGTTGTTGAAGACTCTCCATCAATTGATTGATTGATTCGATTTTACGGTTTATCAACCCTATAGCGGTTATATAAAACCAGAAAATATTTTCAGATTCTAAGATTTATTTTTTTTTAGATAATAATGTTTCAGTGATACAAGTCTTATAAATTAATCCATAGCTAGGAAAGAAGAGGTGGATTTAAATCTAATTAGAATTTGATAAATAAATAAGAAATTATAATTTGGATATAAAGTGGGGGATCAATTTTATATCATAATCAATATATAAACTGATCCCTTACATTGTGGTCACTGTAGTTTCTATACATTTATATTGTAGAACATTTAAATAAATCTAAAAGACGTACCTGTGCACCTAATCAATATTTGATTGATTCGTTTTCTACGGCTTATCAAACAATTGCGGATTATTTTTGTGACGAATTAAAAGTTAAGCAATAAAAACACTTTAAAATACAGATAATAATAGTAATTAAGAATAAATTAATAAAAAATTCAGTCAGTCAGTTATGTGACATGCGCGATACACGCTTAGGC